TGCTGCAGGGTGCCATCACCTTTGGGGTGCTCATAGGGGCTGCAGGATGCCGGTGCCATTGGGGTGCCCATAGGGGCTGCAGGGTGCCATCAGTTTTGTGATGTCCATAGGGGCTGCCGGTGCCGGTGCCGGGTCAGCACCGTGGGAGCGGCCCCGCGATCCGGTGCCCGTGGGAAGCCGCGAGGCTCCGGCAGCTCAGGAAGCCGCCGGCCCCGGGCTCTCAATGGCCGGAAGGCGGCAGCGGGACCCCCCGCTCCCGCTCCCGGTCCCGGTCCCGGCCCGAACCCCGGCCCCGCCGCCGCTTCCCCTTCCCGGGTCAGCGCCCGCTCCCCGCCGCCTCCCGCTCCCGGTACCCCCCCCCCCCCCAGCTCCGGTAGGGGCCGCCCCGCACGTGCCTTGGGGCCGGGACCGGGAGGGGGGAGTCCCGGGGGGGGTGTGGGGGTGCGGGGGGTGGGGGTGCACGTGCGGGGGGGTCTCGGGGGGCGGGTCCGGGGGGGGGGCGGGTCCTGGGAGCCGATTAAGCGGCGGGAGCCGGGGCGGCCGCAGCCGCGATCGCATCAATCCCCCGCGGGGCCCGCACCGGCACCGGCACCGGCTCCAGCGCCCCCGGTGAGTGCCCGCGGGGGCGGCCCCGGGAGGAGGTGGGGGCGGGGGGTTCCTGGGGTACCCACTCTGTGTCCCCCCCCCCGTGCCCCTGTCCCGCGGCCCCGGTGCTCGGACACCTTTGTCCCCGGGTCCCGTCTCCCATCGCGGGATGCGGAGCGCTCCGTGTCCCCTCTGCCGCTCCGGGGACTCCTCCTGTGCGCTAGGGACGGGACAGCGGGGACAGGACCGGGACCCAGCGCCCTCCGCCTGCTGCCGCTCAGTGGGGTCCTGGGGGGCGCTGGGCGATGACTCCCTTGCGCCCCCCCTCCCGTTCTCCGGGGCCGCGGTGCCACCCGGAGCGGGGCCAGAGCAGGAGGGGGGGAACCCGGGGTCCCGGCGTGCCAGGCCCTCGGGGCTGACACCCATTTCCTCCTATTGCAGCTGCAGGAACAATGGCAGAGCCGTTCCTTGTGGAGAGCCCCGACGTCACGTACAGCAAGGACTTCATCGAGGCCAAGTACACGTACAGCGCCGTGCACGTCTGCCGCGAGAACGGCGTCACCAAGGTGCGGAGGGGCGGGGGATGCAGGGGGTCAAGGGTGTTGATGGGGGCTGTCAGGGTTTGGGGGGGTTCGGGAGGGGTTTCGGGGGTCCCCCCCATCCCCACGCGTTCCCATCCCGTAGGTGCATCCGTGCTCGACCCGGTTCACGTTCCGCACGGCGCGGCAGGTCCCACGCCTGGGGGTGATGCTGGTGGGATGGGGGGGCAACAACGGCACCACGGTGACGGCGGCCGTGCTGGCCAACAGGCTGGGGCTCTCCTGGATGACCAAGACCGGGCGCAAGGTGGGTGTCCCCCACCGGTACCCAGCATCCCTGCATCCCGCAAGGATCAGGACACGGAGCTGGTCCCTCTGCACCGGGGTCCTGCACCCCAATCCCCTTCCCTGCCCCTGCAGAGGTGGTCTGAAGCCGTGGCACCCCAAAGTGGGGTGCTGGGGACCCCTTTTCCCTGTACCAGCAGCTCATCCTCACCTTCTCCATCCCAGAAAGCCAACTACTATGGCTCCCTGCTCCAAGCCTCCACCGTCTGCCTGGGCTCTGGCCCCACCGGTGATGTCTATGTGCCTTTCCGGGACCTGCTGCCCATGGTGCACCCCAACGATATCGTCTTTGATGGTAGGTGGGATACGGGGGGGGATGGACACACCCCCATCCATGGGGCACCCTGAGCGGCTGGGTCACCCCTTGTCCCCCAGGCTGGGACATCTCATCCCTGAACCTGGCCAAGGCCATGCGGCGCGCGGAGGTGCTGGACTGGCCACTGCAGGAGCAGCTCTGGCCCCATATGGAGAAGATGAAGCCCCGAGCCTCCATCTACATCCCCGAGTTCATCGCGGCCAACCAGGAGGAGCGGGCGGACAACATCCTGCACGGGTCCATGGCGGAGCAGGTCCTGGTGCTGGTGATGGGGACACAGAGGTGATGTGGGGCAGGGGGATGCCCCCGTGCTGACGTACCCCCATCGGTGCTGTCGCAGGTGGAGCAGATCCGCAGGGACATCCGCGACTTCAAGGAGAGCAGCGGCGTGGACAAAGTCATCGTCCTGTGGACGGCCAACACCGAGCGCTTCTGCGACGTGGTGCCGGGGCTCAACGACACCGCCGACAACCTCCTGCGGGCCATCGAGGTCAGGGCACGGGCAGGGCCGCAGCGGGGAGCAGCGCCGGCAGCCCCCCCGGTGGTGCTGAGCTGCCCCGTGTCCCCGCAGCGAGGCCTGGAGGTGTCCCCATCCACGCTCTTCGCCGTGGCCAGCATCCTGGAGGGCTGCGCCTACATCAACGGCTCCCCCCAGAACACCTTCGTGCCGGGTGCCGTGGAGCTGGCCGCCCAGCGCCGCGTCTTCATCTGCGGTGATGACTTCAAGTCCGGTCAGACCAAGCTCAAGTCGGTGCTCGTGGACTTCCTGGTGGGCGCTGGCCTTAAGGTACATAGGGATGGGGCAGTGCTGATGCATTGGGGGGGACCTGCTTGTGATGGGGGTGACCTGTGCCCACCACCCGCATAGATCAAGTCCATCGTGAGCTACAACCACCTGGGGAACAACGACGGGAAGAACCTCTCGGCCCCGCAGCAGTTCCGCTCCAAGGAGATCTCCAAGAGCAACGTGGTGGATGACACGGTCCAGGCCAACCCCATCCTCTACGGCCCCCAGGACAAGCCCGACCACTGCGTGAGTTGGGGGGTCAGGACCCACACGAGGAGGATGAGGGGGATGCGGTGGTGACGGGGACGTCGCTTCGCAGGTGGTGATCAAGTACGTGCCCTACGTCGGGGACAGCAAACGCGCGCTGGATGAGTACACGTCGGAGATCATGATGGGTGGCACCAACACCATCGTCATCCACAACACGTGTGAGGTGCGTCGGGGGGGCCACAGGGGGGTGGCAGTGGGGGGGTGGCACGTCCCCATCTCACCTCCCCACCCCCTGGTGGCCACAGGACTCGCTGCTCGCCAGCCCCATCATCCTGGACCTGGCCATCCTGACGGAGCTGTGCCAGCGCATCACCTTCTGCACCGAGGCCGACCCCGAGTTCCAGGGCTTCCACAGCGTCCTCTCCATCGTCGCCTTCCTCTGCAAGGCCCCGCTGGTCCCCGAGGGCACCCCCGTTGTCAACGCGCTCTTCCGACAGCGCAGCTGCATCGAGAACATCCTGAGGTACCCGGGGGTCCCCATCCCTCCTCTCCTGCTGCCCATGGTGGTACCCGAGGCTTGGGGGCATCCTGGTGCTCGATACCCAACACCATGGGTGTGCAAAGCCAGTTTGGGGCTGGGTGCTCAGTGCCACCAGTTGGTCCCAGGAGCCATCCCCCCCTCTGGGTGCCAGCACCCAGCACCGCTGCATCCTGGTGCATGATGCCCAAATGATGGTCCCAGTGCTGGCAGTGCCCAGCACCAACAGCTCCCAGCGCAGATGGGTCCCTGGTTCCCAGTCTTGGGGTGCCCAACGCAAGAGCATCCCAATGCCCACAGCCCCCAGTACCCAATGCTGCCCCCAGCATCACTGCTCCCATCGCCCTTCCCTGTCACTGGGTACCACATCCTTAACACCCCCCCCCTCCATTTCCTCCCTCGGTGCCAGGGCCTGTGTGGGGCTGCCCCCCCAGAACCACATGCTGCTGGAGCACAAGATGCAGCGCCCCGCACCCAGCCCCAAGCGCTCCTGCCCGGGGGGGGCCGCCTGTCCCTTGGCACCCAAGAAGACCCCGGCAGCACCCACCCAGCTCAATGGGCACCCCTGTGCACCGCGGATGGGGCCCCCCCGCACCCCCCTGCACATTGATGGGGCTGACTAACGCCAGGACCCCTTGAGCAGCTTCCTAGGGGGTGGATGTGGGGGTCTGGGGGGGGGTGTCCCCCCCACCTCAGTGCCCCCCAGCCCCGATGCCATTGACACTGTGAAGCTTTGAACCCCCCAATAAACCCGGATGCCCCCCCAAACGGTGTTGCCTCATTCTTGGGGGACCCCCCCCCCAAAGCAAAAAATTGGCACCTTCTGAAAAAAAAATCAAGTGACATTTATTGATGGGGGGGGGGCTGTATTTTGGGGGGGTTGTATTTTTTTGTGTATTTTCTTCTTTTTGTTGTTTTTTTTTTGGGGAGGGGGTCCCCCGTTTTGTTTTGATAAAGCAACGGGGGCTCTAATGGCAATAGAAATGGGGGGGGGTGTTCCCTACACAGAACAACTATGCCTATGGTGGGTGCTATGGGGGCACAATGGGCCCCCCCCCGGCGTGGGGCTGTACAAGGGAGGGGGCCCGGGGGTGCGGCGGCAGTTGGGGGAGGGGGAGGGGAAGAGGGGGGGGAGGGGTTTTGAGGTCGTTTTTGTTATAAAAGAGGAAAAATCCCAACAAAAATCCCAAAAAACCCACACAAAAAAAGAGAATTCCTTCATATTAAAGTGGTCCCGGGGGGGGGGGGGGGGGGGGCGGCGGGGGGGGGGCCCGGTCGGGGCGGGGGGGCGGGGGATCACAGTGCTGGCTGAGCACACAGACAGGGCTGGGGGGGGGGGCTGCTCTCTGCACTGGGGCCTGCCCTATAGAGCATGGGGGGTGCTCTATGGGGAGGGGGGTATGGCTTGGGCCCCCCCCACCCCTAACACAGCCTTTGGGTGGGGGGGGTTGAACCCGCACTGGGGGCTTTGGGGGGGCTGCTGCATTGCTCATTGCAGTTACCTCCATTTACAGCATAGCCAAAGGTTGGGGGGCAGAGCAAACCCCCCCCCCAAAACCCCCTCCCTACTTTTGGGGGGGGGAACACCCTTATAAAGCCCCCCCCCCCCCAGTGCCTGCCCCCACCCTGGGGGGTGGTCCCTGCGCCGGGGATGGGGGGAGGGCAATAAATAAGTCACGTGACTTATTCCTAATTCTTCCTCAATTGTCCCCATTCTGTGTTTAGTGTTTTCTCACGGGGGGGGAGGGGAGGGGGATGTGATTGATAATTATTGATCATTGATTATTGATCACTGATGAGGATTCCGGGGGGGGGGAGGGGTCCGGCCTGGCGGGGCTCACACGCTCATCGTCATGCTGGGCGAGTACTGCAGGGAGCGGAGACACCATGGGGTTAATGGGGGGGGTTCGGGGGTAACCACCCCCAAGCCCCCCATTGTCATCATTGGGGTTCACCAAAGGGATTTAATGCCCCCCCCCCACCCCGGGGGTCCCTTACGCTGTCGCTTTGGAAGGGGTTCAGGAAGTTGCTGCTCAGGTCCGCGTCGTCCCGGGGGGTGCCGGGGGGGTTGCTCAGGGCCCCCAGGTTACTGGGGGAGCTCTGGGGAAGGGGGAGAAGAGGGTGAGAAAGGGGGGGATGGAGGGGGTGTGTGTAATAAATGGGGTCCCAGTACATGGGGGGGCAATAAATGTGTCTTAGGGTATGGGGGGGGGTTAATACATGGGGTCCCACTATATGGGGGGCTAATAAATGCATCCCAGGGTATGGGGGGGGTTCAATAAATGGGGTCCCAGTACATGGGGGGGGCAATAAATGTGTCTCAGGGTATGGGGGGGGTCAATAAATGGGGTCCCAGTACATGGGGGGGGGCAATAAATGTGTCCCACGGTATGGGGGGGTTCAATAAATGGGGTCCCAGTACATGGGGGGGGCAATAAATGTGTCTCAGGGTATGGGGGGGTCAATACATGGGGTTCCAGTACATGGTGGGGGCAATAAATGTGTCTCAGCGTATGGGGGGGTTCAATAAATGGGGTCCCAGTATATGGGGGGGGCAATAAATGTGTCTCAGGGTATGGGGGGGTCAATACATGGGGTTCCAGTACATGGTGGGGGCAATAAATGTGTCTCAGCGTATGGGGGGGTTCAATAAATGGGGTCCCAGTATATGGGGGGGGCAATAAATGTGTCTCAGGGTATGGGCAATACATGGGGTTCCAGTACATGGTGGGGGCAATAAATGTGTCTCAGCGTATGGGGGGGTTCAATAAATGGGGTCCCAGTATATGGGGGGGGCAATAAATGTGTCTCAGGATAAGGGGGGGTTCAATACATGGGGTCCCACTATATGGGGGGCTAATAAATGCGTCCCAGGGTATGGGGGGGTTCAATACATGGGGTTCCAGTACATGGGGGGGGAGCAATAAATATGTCTCAGGATATAGGGGGGCTGTTTCCAATAACTGGGGTCCCAGTACATGGGATTGGTGGGGAGGTCCCAGTGCATGGGGGGGGCCCCGCACTCACCTTTGGCAGCCCGTCCATGTCCCCGGAGCCTGCATGGACAAAGCAGAGCATCAGTGCCCCCCCCAACCAAGGCCGTGCCCCCCCCTCCGGTGATGCTCAGGCCCCCCCCCCCCCTCCCCGCAGGGCCCTGCATTGATCGCGGCCGCCCGCAGATGGCGCTCACGGACCGCGGGATGGAGCCGGGGTTGGGGAGGGGGGGGCACGCACCTAAGGATCCATTCATGTGATGCGGCTCCATCGCGCTCATGCCCCCCATGGGCCCCTCGGGTCCGGGCCCCATCGGGAACTGGAAGGGAAAAGGGGGGTGAGGAGCAATGTGGGACCCCCCCCCATCCCCATCCCTGTGTCCCCCCCGACCCCATCGCAGTCACTCACATTGGGCCGGGTCCCCGCGGGCCCGATGGGGTTCATCATGGTGTACATGTTCTCACTGGAGTTGGTGGAGTCTGGAGGGGGGGGACACATGGAGGGGTGAGAATGGCACCCAAATCCCCCCCCCCAATGACCCCAACCCATCCCGCTCCCTGCAGACACTCACCTCCGGGGCTGGGCAGGATGGGGGTGCCGGGGGGGCCACCACCCCCGGGAGGGCCCTGGGGGGGGGAAAGGAGGGAGGTGGGTTAAAGGGGGGGCACCCCCAGCATGGACACCCCCCAGTGCACCCCAATACTCACCACATAGTTCCCGGGGGATGAGGAGGAGTAGGCGATCTGGGGGGACAGAAAGACGGGGGTGTTCATCATGGGGGGGGCAGAGCCAGCACCCCCATAGCCCCATCCCCTGCTCCCCCCCCCCCCCAACTTACGGAGTTGGCGTTGGGGTTCGGCCAAGGCCCGCGGCCACCGGGACCCCTGGAAGGCAATGGGGAGAGGTGAGGGGGGGGTCCCGGTGACCCCATGGGAGGGGGGGGTCCGGGTGTCTTACATGTTCATGGTGGGCATGCCAGGGCCGGCCAGCGAGCTGGGGGGGGGGCGCATCCCGCTGCCATAGGTCTGCAGGGAGAGCTGGGGGTCAATGGGGACATCCCTGTCTCTGCCCCCACTCCCCATCCCTGTTCCCATCCCCATCCATATCAATGGCTCCAACCCCATCCCGACCCCTGCATCCTCACCTGGGGGGCCATGCCGGCCATGCCTCGGGGGGGGTTCATGCGCTGCATCGGGCCCCCCATGCCGGGATGCCCTGTGCAAAGGGGAGGGGGGGAGGAGGCACAGTGAGACCCCCACAGCCCCCCCCAACCGACCTTGGGGTGCGGGGGGGGGGGGGGCACACAGGGACCCCCCCAACTCACCCTGTGACCGCGCCGCCGGGTCCATGGCGTTGGGCAGCAGTGGCTGCGAGCCTGGGACACCCACTGGGGGCTGGGGGGGGGGGACAGCACATGAGGAGCTGCGGATCCCCCCCCAGAGGGGTCTGCACCCATTGTAGTGGGTGGGGGAATGGGGGGGTCCCATCGCAGAGCACCTCACCTGGTTCGGCATCCGGAGCGGGGGCCGGGGGCCGCCGGGGTACCGGGGGGACATGAAGGGCTGCAAGAGATGGAGCAGGGATGGGGTGAGCTGGGGCTGGGGGGGGCAGCATCACCCTGGGGGGGGGGGCGGGGAGGGGCCGGGGGGGGGCCGGGGCTCTCCTGCAGGCGCTGAGGGGGGGGGGGGCCCAGCCTTACCTGGCTGTGCGGCCCCAGCAGGGGGGGCCCGGGGTTGTGGGGCGGAGGCTGAGAGCCCGCGGGTCCCTTTAAGAGAAACAGAACACGGTTATGGGGCTGGGGGGGGGGCACCCCGGTGGGGGGCTTGGGGGGGCATGGGATGTGGGGCTGGCCCCAGGAGGGGGCAGAGTGAGGCGGGGGGGCCCGGGTCATGTAAAGCCACCTGGCTGCAAGCACACGCTAAGGGCACGCATACACGTAGGTAGACAGACATTAAGGACACGCACATGCTAAGAACATGCACACGCTAAGGATGTGTACATGCTAACAACATGTACACGCTAACGACATGTACACGCTAAGGACATGTACACACTAAGGACATGCACATGCTAAGGACATGTACACAATAAGGACATGTACATGCTAAGGACATGCACACTGAGTGCACGCACACACTAAGGACACATACACAGGTAAGGACATGCATACGCTAAGGAGATGTACATGCTAAGGGCACGCACACCGAGTGCATGCACATGCTAAGAACACGTACACACTAATGACATGTACATGCTAAGGACATGCACACTGAGTGCACACACACTCTAAGGACACGTACATGCTAATGACATGTACACGCTAAGGGCACACACACACTAAGGACATGCACACTGAGTGCACGCACACGCTAAGGACATACACATGCTAAGGACATGCACACACTAAGGACACGCACACACTAAGGACATGCACACACTAAGGACACACACTGAGCGCATGCACACGCTAAGGACACGCACATGCTAAGGACAGCTAAGGACACACACACACTAAGGACACACACACTAAGGACACACACAGAGCGCACACACGCTAAGGACACGCACATGCTAAGGACATGCACACGCTAAGGACACGCACACGCTAAGGACACACACAAAGGACACACACACACTATGGACACGCACACGCGTGCTCTCAGCACCCACGCAGGGGGTACCTGGAAGAAGGCGGGGGGCATGGGCCCCCCCGCGATGCCGTCACCGGGGGGCAGGTTCCCCATCACCGGGCTGGGAGCCGCCGCCGCGCTCTGCGGGGGAACGGGAGGGGAGGGAGGGGGGGGTCAACACCGGAGGGGGGGGGGGAGGGCACCTCTGCGGCTGCGCCAGGCGAGACCCGGTCCTGCCCCCCCCCCCCCCGAACGGGGCAGGGGGCGCGGGCCCCTCTCTGCTGCCGGCCCCATGGAAGGAATGCACCGGAAACCGGCCCGGCCCCGCCGCAACTGGATCCAATTTGTAGGGGAGGAGGAGAAAGGGGGGGGGGGGGAACCGGACCCGGAGCTGCCCCCTCCCCCCGGGGGGCCCCGCAGCGCCCCATGGCTGCCCCCAGCCCCAGCTTGGATGTGTTTGGAGAGGGGGGCATCACCCATTGATGGGGGATGGGGATGGGGCACCCGTGCGTGCTGCTGGTGTGGAAATGGGGATGGGGAGGGTGAGACCCCCATCTGGGCACATGGGTCATGGTAGGTACATGGGTCACACATGGGACATGCATGGCACCAGGGTGACAGTGGGTGCCCTGGGGTCTGGAGGTCGGGGGGAGCCCCAGCTTCATCTGCTGCAGGATGTGGCCCCGAGGTCCCCAGCTCCAGGGATCATTTGCAAGGCAATGGGAGCCCACCACATCCCATCCAGGCGCCATCCCAGAGCCCCCCATGGTCCCACCATGGAGCCCATCCTGAACCGTCACAGAGCCATCACCAAGCTCCCCATGGTGCCAACACCAGGTCCATCACTGCACCCAACACAGAGCCACCACAGCAGCCATCACAGTCCCACCACAGCACCCATCATGGTCCCACCCCAGTGCCCACCATGGGGCTCATCACAGAGCCCACCATGGAGCACACCATGGTCCCACCACAGCACCCATGGTGGTCCCACCATAGCGCCCATTGTGGTCCCACCATAGAACCCATCACGGTCTCACCACAGCACCCCTCATGGTCCCACCCCAGTGCCCACCATGGGGCTCATCACAGAGTTATCACAGAGCCCACCATGGAGAGCACCATGGTCCCACCACAGCATCCATGGTGGTCCCACCATAGCACCCATCATGGTCCCACCATAGAACCCGTTACGGTCTCACTACAGCACCCATCATGGTCCCACCACAGCACCCATGGTGGTCCCACCATAGCACCCATTGTAGTCCCACCATAGAACCCATCACGGTCCCACCACAGCACCCATCATGGTCCCACCACAGCACCCACCACGGGGCTCATCACAGAGTTATCATAGAGCCCACCATGGAGCACACCATGGTCCCACCACAGCACCCATGGTGGTCCCACCATACACCCATCATAGTCCCACCACAGCACCCATCATGGTCACACCACAGTGCCCACCATGGAGCTCATCACAGAGTTATCATAGAGCCCACCATGGAGCACACCATGGTCCCACCATACACCCATCATGGTCCCACCACAGTGCCCATCATGGTCCCACCATAGCACCCATTATGGTGCTCATCATGGAGCCATTGCAGTGCCCACCCCAGCACAGCACAGGGGACAGGTCCCAGGACCCAGGGGGTCTGTCCCCATCACGCAGGGGTGCCAGGAGGGGTGAAGGGTGGGATGGCAGCAGCATCACCCCATGGCTGCGTCCGTGACCAGCATCACCCCATGGCTGTGTCCGTGACCAGCATCACCCCATGGCTGCGTCCGTGACCAGCATCACCCCATGGCTGTGTCCATGACCAGCATCACCCCATGGCCGTGTCCATGACCAGCATCACCCCATGGCCGTGTCCGTAACCAGCATCACCCCATGGCCGTGCCTGTGACCAGCATCACCCCATGGCCATGGGGCCAGGACAACGCTGCCCAGGGGGGCCGGGCAGCCTTTGCCTGGGGGCAGGCACAATCCCCATCCCAACCCTGGGGACAGAGCCAAGGCAGAGGCCCCGCACACACACACCCCACAGTGGGTCCACCACTGCCCCCCAGCTCCAGCCCCACAGAGGGGACAGTGCTGCCCCCCCCATGGCAGGGACTGAACTGCCCCCCCCCATCACTCAGTGATGCAAAGCAGAGTTGCCATGGCAACAGGTTGGGGAGTTTTGGCTCCTCCTGCAGGCTCAAGGTCAGGAGGGAGAAAATGGGGGGGGGGACACAGACATGGGGGGGTGCAGGCTGGGGGGGGGTCCCCAGACCAATGCACCCCAGCGTACCCCAATCCCCAGCATGGGGCCAGTCGCTGCCACCATTTGTCCCCACTGCCAGCCCCCCAAGTGATGGGGTCCCCATCCCCACGATGCTCATGAGGAGGGGGGGTCCCCATGTGCCCCGGGGGGGGTGCCGCTGAGCAGCACCCATGGGGGTGAAGTGAGGGGCTCCATGGCGGGACCCCCAGTTCACCCCATGGGTACCGGTTTCACTGCAGTGAGGACCCCAGGATGGGGGTTCACAGTGTGGGGGTGCACGGGGGGGGGGTGCTGCAGGGGGGCTCCCCCCATGGGTCCCCATTGCTGCCTGCCAGGCATTAGTGCCATGGCAACGCTGCCTGACCCGCGCCGCGTCCCCGGCGTCACCGCACCGGCAGCCTCATTAATTCCAGCATGGAAATCAGCGCTGCAAGCGCCGGGGGCCGGGGGGGGGCCCTGCTGCAGCCCCCCCTGCACTGGTGCAGCCACACGCGGTGCCCACAGCCACCCCCTGTGCAGCAATGGGTGCTGCTGGGTAAGGGGGGGGTGAGCAGCCAGGGAAGGGGGGGCAGCTCCAGCCCCTCTCCAGGGGGATGGGGAGAGGGTCAGGGCAATGTGCGCCCTGTGGCATCCTGCATCCCACAGCATCCTGCATCCCACAGCGCCATGGACCCCACAGCATCCCGCATCCCACAGCGCCATGGACCCCACAGCATCCTGCATCCCACAGCGCCATGGACCCCACAGCATCCTGCATCCCACAGCATCCTGCATCCCACAGGGCCATGGACCCTACAGCATCCCGCATCCCACAGCATCCTGCATCCCACAGCGCCATGGACCCCACAGCATCCTGCATCCCACAGCATCCTGCATCCCACAGCGCCATGGACCCCACAGCGCCATGGACCCCACAGCATCCCGCATCCCACAGCGCCATGGACCCCACAGCATCCTGCATCCCACAGCATCCTGCATCCCACAGCGCCATGGACCCCACAGCATCCTGCATCCCACAGCATCCTGCATCCCACAGCGCCATGGACCCCACAGCGCCATGGACCCCACAGCATCCCGCATCCCCCAGCACCATGGACCCCACAGAATCCTGCATCCCACAGTGCCATGGACCCCACGGCATCCTGCATCCCACAGCATCATGGACCCCACAGCATCCTGCATCCCACAGCGCCACGGGTACCATGGCATCCTCCATCCCACAGTGCCAAGGGTACCATGGCATCCTGCAACCCCCAGCAACCCCTACTGCACAGCACCATGTATCCCACACAGAATGGCACCGCCTGTCCTGCAGCATCCTGCATCCCACAGCATCCTGCATCCCACGGCCTTCTTTATCCCACAGCATCCTGCACACCACAGCATCACATATCCCACAGCATCCCACAGCATCCCACAGCATTCCTGCTGCAACGTCTGCATCTCACAGCATCCTGCATCCCACAGTACCATGAACCCCACAGCATCCTGCATCCCACACTGCCTTGGACCCCACAGCATCCCGCATCCCACAGCGCCATGGACCACACAGCATCCTGCATCCCACAGTACCATGAACCCCACAGCATCCTGCATCCCACACTGCCATGGACCCCACAGCATCCTGCATCCCACAGCACCATGGACCCCACAGCATCCCGCATCCCAGAGCGCCATGGACCACACAGCATCCTGCATCCCACAGTGCCATGGACCCCACAGCATCCCACATCCCACAGCACCATGGACCCCACAGCATCCCACAGCACCACAGATCCCATGGCAGCCCACATCTCCCACCCCAGGACCATGCACCAGCCCCATCCCAGGGCATGGTACCCCCCAGGACCCAGTTCTCCTCCTGCCACCCCCAGCGGTGGTGGGGGTGTCCCACTGAACCCCAGGACCACACCGGTCCTGCAGCACCGGGTGAGATGGGGTGGGGGGGGGACACCCTAACTTCCAGTTGGGAAGCAGGGTTAGGGGTTACAGGATGCAACCCATGGGATGGGGCTGGATGCAGGGGGGGGGGCTGAGCCAGGCCCCCAGGGATTAACCCCCCCCTCCTTTGCATCCCAATGCAAATAGGTCAGCGGGCTGGGGCCGGTGTTAACCCCCGGTGTGCTGGGTCCGGGGGTGTCACAGTGGGCACAGCTCCCCCCCAGCCCCACGGTACTCACGTAGTCATGGAAGGCTTTGGCCTCGCTGGAGTGCTCACAGGTCTCCCTGCGGTCGGGAGCGGCGCAGTACAGGTCCCAGAACACACTGGAGTGAAAGGGGGACACACACACACACACAACGGGTCAGGACCCCCCAATGTCCCTGTGTGTGCCCATGTCCATCCCATGTGTGTCCCCCCCCATCCCCTGTGTGTGTTGGGGCCTCCCAGCGCCGCCGCTGCCGCCTGTTTTCCCTGGAAACGGTCGCTAGGGCCAGAGCCCAAATTCCTGGGACTTTACATCAGGCTGCAGCATCCCGGGGCCGGATGGGATGGGGGGGTCCCATTGCCCGCACCCCCCCCCCCCCCGGATGCAGGGATGGGACCACAGCGCTGTTTCTGGGTGCTCCCCCCTTTAGGGGTGCTGGCAGCGGGAGGGTTAATGGCCTCTGCCCCCCCCCCCCCCCATATATCACTTCTTGGCAATGGCAGCATCCTGCACCCCCACTGAGCCCCCACAGCACGATGGGGTCGTGTCCCCCCCCAGCATCCCCCATCAGTCCCTATCCATGGGGTGACCTCCTTGGTTGTCCCCCCCCCTCTTCATGCAGGGTCCAGCCCCAGACTGGGAGCCCCCTCCCACCCCGTGCTTGGTGCCAAATTGGATCCATCTGGAGGGGCCGGGATGCGAGGGGGGGGAGCCCCCAAATCGCTGATGGGAAAAGCAGAGCGGCAGGTTTATGGGGTACGAGGTGATGTGGTGGCAGCGGGGGGGGGCCCCAGCTCAGCCCCATGGAAAGGGAAGGGGCAGCGGGGTGTGGGGGGGGGTCCATCCCTAACTCACCACCACCAGGAGTGCAGGAAGCCGGGAGGCTCTCCCAATGTGATGTTCTTCTCCCATCGGATCTGCGGGGAGGGATGCGGGGATGCGGGGTCAGGCTTGGCCTCGGCAGGCCTGACACCGCGGGGATGGGCTCCGGGCCCCCAGTCCCATGGGGATGGGGTCGGGAGGGGTTTGTGTGTGTGTGTGATCCCCCCTCCATCTCTTACCTCCGACAGGAAGGTCTGGGCTGATTTCTGGGCCCCCACGTGCAGCAGGTACTCATACACGTACAGCGCCAGCCTGCGGGGACCGCGACCGGGACACGGGGGTCAAGGACCGGGCACCCCCCCCCGGTTCCCCGGCCCCGACAGCCGCAGACCCCAAAAGCGGGGATACCCCCCGGGGGGGGCGGCCAGGACGGAGCGGGAGCGATGTCAGCTCCCCGCGAAGGGAGGCGGGCACCCCGGGTCCCGGCAATGGGAATGACTCAGGGCCCGGTCCCGCTGCCGACGGGGGTCCCACACGGCGGGGAGCGGCTCCCGGTGAACGGACGGACGGGGAAGGGGGGGGTGCGCACCCCGGTTCCCGGCTCAGCCCCGACGGCTGCCGGTGCCCCCCCAGCGGGGCGGGGCCGCGGGGGTCCGCCCGCCCCCATCCCCATCCCCAGTCCCCATCCCCGTCCCCTCGGTGCCCGCTCCCCCGGCGGCCGCCCCGGCAAAAGTTGCGGGGCCGCGGCCCGGGGCCGCACTCACTTCTCTCGGGCCTGTCCGTCCGAGGGCACGCCGGAGCCCTTGCCCTTCCCGTACATGCTGCGGCGGCGGCGCGGCCCCGGCTGTCAGCGGCCCCGGCCCCGGCCCCGCTCCCGGGCCCCCCCCGCCGCCATCCCGGCCCCGGCCCCGGCCCCGGCGGCTCCGGCCGCGCGCCCGCGGGGGAGCTTGAAACCGCCGCGCCGCCTCCCCCCGCGAGGCTGTTCCAGCAACGCCGCCCGCGCCCGCCGCTCTTAAAAGGGCGATGTCGGTGAAGGGTGGTGGGGACCGCGTTATGGGGACGAGGGGAGAGGGATGCGACGGGGTGGGCACAGGCACAGGGGATGAGAGGGGGGGTGTGGGCATGGAGGGATACGGAGGTTGGGGGTGGGCAGGGGGGTGGTGGATGGGGGGACGCGGACACGAGGGGTGGGACACGGGAGGGAGATGGGGGGACAGGGACACGGGGTGGGGGGGTACGGACACGGTGTTCTCGGAGGACACGGACACGAGGGGGTGGGTACGAGAGGGACACGGACACCGGGGGTGCGGAGAGACGCGGTGGTAATGGAGGGACACGGACACGAGGGGGGGACATGGACACGGTGGACGCAGAAGGAGGCGGATGTGGGGGGGGACGACTTGGGCATGGGGGGGATGGACATGGACGTGTGGGGCTTGAGGGGCACAGGACACTGAGGGGGAGGCACAGGGGGATGTGGACATGGGGAACACCGGGATGCGGACATGGACACAAACCATGCATGGGGTCCCTTTGCAAGGGGGGGAGTCCCCTCCCCACGATGTACCCCGAACAGAGCCCCCCAAGGGTACCAGCACCCCGGGAGGGCCCGATCCTCCCCGGGCCCCTACACGAATTACCCCAACACATCACTGAGAGCCTGGCATCCCCCTCAAACCCGCTTCACTGAGCCGGCGTCTGTGCACATGTGCACGTATGTACCTGCGAGCGTGTTGAGCACGCAGCACGTGTGCACTGACATGTATGTGCGAGCGTGCGGCAGCACATGCGTGTGTGTGTCCGTGTGTCCCCACGCATGTAACTGACAGGCGGGGCCATTGGGGTGCTCAGCACCCAGCAACACCACCCCAAGCCCTGAGACAGCCCCCGGGTCCGGCTGCATCCTGTCACAGGATGGGACCCGCCTGTTCCTCTTCTGTGCCCTGCGGAGGAACGGCCGGAGCGCAGGCGAGTTGGGTGCTGGGGCTGAACACACACACACACAGCACCCATTGGGACCCCCGGGTGCTGCCCTGCCCGGGCAGAGCGGGAGAGGGGTGGGCGCCAAACTGGGCTGCACTGGTTTGTACTGGGAGGGGTAACAGGCAGGCTCAGTGGGAACTGGGGTCTTGCTGACCCCTCGTTTCCCACCCAGGTACCTGGAGGGGCCATGGGGCACCCGATGGCCCCCTTTGTGCTGCTGCTGCTGCTGTGCCCCGCGTCCCCCCTGTCCCCCGTGTCCCCCACGCCCCCCGCGTCCCCCTGCTTCACCGTGCCGCCGGACGCCCCCCTTGAGCTGAACCTGACCCAAACCATCCCTCACTGCACCGAGCTGGACTGGGGCCGCTTCCAGCGCCAGCGGCGGCTGTGGCTGAACCACAACGGCATCGAAGCCCTGAGCCCCTCGTCCCGCGTCCAGCCGGGGCTGGAGGAGCTGGACTTGTCCCACAACGCGCTTCGGGAGCTGCCGGCCCCGTTCCTGAGCGGGGCGCGGGGCTTGCGGAAGCTCCTGCTGCGGCACAACCGCCTGCGGGTCCTGCCCGACGGCTTCTTCGCCAACAGCACGGCCCTGGAGAGCCTGTGGCTGGACGGGAACCCCCTCCCGGCCGTGCCCCGCTCCGCCTTCCAGCCCGGGCTGCGCTTCCTGGCCGTGCCGTGCCGCTGCGATGTGGTGGGCAGCGTCCTGGCCCCCTGCGCCTGCTCCCCCGCCGCCTGCCGCTGCCACTGCCTCGACCCCCAGCGCGGCCGCCTCAACGTTACCCAATTCCACGGCTCCGAGTGCCGGGGCCGAGCGGCGCTGGCGGCCGGAGCTGCCGCGGCCGCGGCTCTCGTGGTCCTGGCGCTGGTGGCGGCTGCCGTGGTTTGGCACCGGAGGAGAGCGGCGGCCGCCGGCGTCGGGGGGGCGAAGCGGGAGCCGGCGGCGGCGGCGGCGCACGGGCAGCCCCGGTACGTCAGCAGGGCCGATGGCACCGGCGGCTCCAACGGCAGCGCCGATGGCTCCACACCGGACTATGAGAACGTGTTGGTGAGCACCAGCAGCATCGCAGTCACTGTGCCGGGATGGACACCGGGAGGGCAGCGGTACAGGTGAGGCTCTGGAGCTGGCACCGGCTGCTCCAGGTGTGTCCCGTCCCTTCCTGTGCTGTGCTGAGCCATGCTCTGTAATCCCATCCCATGACATTCCGTGTTGTGCCATCTCACCCTGTCCAGTCCATTCCCATCCATCCTGTCTCATCCCATCCCATGCTGTGCCATCTCACCCTGTCCAGTCCATTCCCATCCATCCTGTCTCATCCCATCCCATGCTGTGCCATCTCACCCTGTCCAGTCCATTCCCATCCATCCTGTCTCATCCCATCCCATGCTGTGCCATCTCACCCTGTCCAGTCCATTCCCATCCATCCTGTCTCATCCCATCCCATGCTGTGCCATCTCACCCTGTCCAGTCCATTCCCATCCATCCTGTCTCATCCCATCCCATGCTGTGCCATCTCACCCTGTCCAGTCCATTCCCATCCATCCTGTCTCATCCCATCCCATGCTGTGCCATCTCACCCTGTCCAGTCCATTCCCATCCATCCTGTCTCATCCCATCCCATGCTGTGCCATCTCACCCTGTCCAGTCCATTCCCATCCATCCTGTCTCATCCCATCCCATGCTGTGCCATCTCACCCTGTCCAGTCCATTCCCATCCATCCTGTCTCATCCCATCCCATGCTGTGCCATCTCACCCTGTCCAGTCCATTCCCATCCATCCTGTCTCATCCCGTCCCATGCCATCCCATCCCAAGCTGTCCCATTCCACCCCATCCATGTCCCATCCCCATGGGGCCCATGCCATGGCCAGGGCAGCGGGTGCCACCTCCATGTCCCAGCCCGCAGATCCCGATGCATGACCAGTGCTCCCTGCACAGCGAGGACGCCTGGGACCAGCCCATCTATGCCAACACCCAGAGCCCCTGCCAGGACAGCATCTACATCACCCCTGACCAGTGATGCTCCTGTGGTGACCCCAGCACAGAGGGGACAGGGATGGGCGCTCCCCATGGATGTGGGCTCCGTGGGTCCTGCTATGGCTGGGATGGGGACAGGGACATGCACATTCTCCGCTCACATCCTGCCATGGACACCTCCCTCAGGGGGGCTATTTTAGTACACCCCGGCCCCCTCCTTCACCCCGGTCCCTTTCAGTAGCTGAGGGCTGAGGTGCTTCCTCTGACAGCGGGGACACAGCACCCATGGGCAGCAGCATCCCGGAGCCAGGGACACGGGTGAGGGCCCCCGGGGTGACCGCAGCAGCGCACGGTTCCTGTTCCCCTTTCAGCTGCCGATGGGGTGCACGTGCGCCTGGGGACATCTGGACACTGGGACCATCCCCACCATCGCCTTCCCCACCCCTTTCCCTGCTAAATCTGCCTCTCTGGGGAGCAGCAGAAGCCTCTTTGGGAGCGCTCCTGCAGGATTCCCGGTTCTGCACCCCGAGGGGATCGGCATCCGGGGACACGGCCTTGTCTGGGAGTCCTCCCCCTCCGTGGGTCCCCTGGGCTCCATCCCTGGTGATGCTCCACTGGGCCCTATTAAATGGTTTAATCAGCTTAAATGAGCCTGTCTGCTGGGAGCCCTGGGTAGGGATGGGGGTACCTGCCCCCGGCAGCGCTGGTGCTGTTCCCATCGGGATCCATCCCTCTGCCATCCCCAGATTAGGGATGTTGGTGACTGAAGGGTGGCTCTAAACATGAGGCTGGAGGTCCCAGGGGCCGTGTCCCCAGAGCGGGGTGTCCCAGGGGACCAGACCCTCAAGGACAGGGCCCCATAGCCCATGACCCCAGAGCAGAGGTCCCTCAAGTCCACATCTCCAGAGTGGACATCCCCAACCCCGTGTCCCTCAGGTCCCCGTCCTGAGTGCAATGAGTCCCTGGGGGATGCTGCGTGGAGGCAGAGCCTGGGGGAGCCGTGGTCCCCCCCATCCCAATGCAGTCCCATGGCTGAAGGTACCCTGAAAAGGGCAGCGGCCTCATCCTGGCCCAATGTCCTGCGTGGGGGAGGTCAAGGCTGTGCCCAGCACCCATCTCAAGGCCACAGACAACTCAAAGGTCTTTGGGAGCACAGCCCAGGCATTACTCACCTGGCACGGCAGGGTGGGATGGGATGGGCTGAGCTGGCCCCACTCATCCAAAGGGATCCACCAGCAAATCCATATGGAGTCAGCTCCTGGCTGGTCATCCATGGAGGGGCTAAGTGAAGAGCTGAAGGTGACCCACTGCAGTGGTGGGTGGTGGGGCAGGAGAGGCAGGCAGAATCCCTGTTCCCATCTCTTTATTCATTCCCAGAACTCTGGTTTATAGAAATATATAAAATAGAAAATACACCAAAAACCCCACCTTTTCCCCAGAAAGGTGCTTGGCTATAAAATACAATAAGTTAGCAATAAATAAGAGGGTTGTATAAATAAGTCTCTAAGCAGAGAAGAGATGATGCTCAGACAAGGGGTGGGCTGTGGCCACCCAGGACAGACCCACCTTGGCCTGTTTTGGGGTCTTTTGGGTGGGAAGGATCCACCTCCCGCATAAAATGTGCTTTAAATAAGGAGCCAGAAGTGGGAATAAAGTGGCTTGCAGAAGGGGGGGGGTCACAACCAGGGATGAGCTGGATGCTGGAGCCATCAGGAGCCTCTGCCCAGGAGGTGTGAGCTGGAGGCGATGCCATCAGGCGCAGTGGCACTTGGTGACCAGCATGTCCTCGAAGAGCGTGGAGACCAGCCTGCCCTCGCTGTTGTAGTGCATCAGCACCATGGGGTCGTATCCAGCGGGGACGCAGCAGGGCGGAGGGGTGGCTTTGGAGAGGGAGTGCATGCGGGCTTTGATCTGGGCGTGCATGCTGGCCGGCTTGTAGTTGTGGGGACAGGACCCCTCGCAGAACCTCATGTAGTAGCTGTTGGGGGCGATGATCCAGTCGGACCAGCCGATGTCCTGGAAGGAAACCTTGAGCGACTTCAGGCAGCACTTCCCATCGCTCTTCCCGCATTCCTCCTCCAGCCCCCGGGCTCTCCGGGCCCCCCGGCCCCCGGACTCGTGGGTTTCCACCTCCAGCACCAGCGCCTCCGAGGAGGAGGAGGAGGGGGGCAGCAAGGCCGAGACGTCGGTGCTGAAGAGCAGCTCCAGGCGCAGGGAGTCCTCGGCACCGGCAGCCCAGGGCCGAACGGCCGCTGTCAGGTCCACGCTTGGAGCATCCCGGTCCAGCTCTTGGCTCTGCAGGAGCTGCGGGGTCCCCTGAGCCCCCCCCACGCTGTAGATGCTGACGCGGGGGGGCACCGAGGAGCGGAGCGGGTTCAACCCAAGGGATCCCGGCTTGAAGAGCTTCAGTTCCGCCTGCACCACCCGGAGCTGCCGCTGGAAAGCCTCTGTGCGGGACAGCAGGAGGTGGTAGCGGTGCGGGCCGGCGGCGTCCCCGTGTCCCGGCGGGTCCCGGTGCAGCACTGCGGGCACAGCTGATGTAAGAGCCCGCAATCCTGCCCGGCAGCTCCTGACCGGCTCCTGCCCCGCGGCCCCACCGCCGCGTTATCAACCGGATCCCCAGGGATGCGGAGGCCACGGTGGGGCAGCCCCATCCTCATCCCCACAGCACCCGGTACCCACCATCCCCCCGGGGGGGGGGGCAGCGGAGGGACAGCAGATGGTGCCCCAGGAACCATTGGGGTGACCCCCCCCAAACACACGGCAAGAGTGGGATATTTCCCTACATCCCCCCAGTTCCCTATGCAAGGCCAGACCCCGCTCCGAGCACTCAAAGCTGCCGCTTTCACCCCAAAACTGCCCATGTTGTGTGGGCTGAAGCAGAACAACCCCACCAGTGGCTCCGCCCCAGTGCCAGGACAAGGGAAGCAGCCGGGATAAGGATGGGCACAGCCACCACTGTTCATGCCCGGTCATGTCCCTGCACTCGCTCATGTGCCTGAGCAGGGACACGTTGGGGGACACACACACGTGTGTGTGTGTGGGGCGGGAATAGGGGTCACGGATGCACACGGAGTCACGGCATCACTTACATGTGGGGGTCAGGCGATGCAGGCGCCTGGTCCTGGGCACGGCTCCTTCCTCCTCCTCCCGGCTCCGGTTCTGCATCAGCTCATCCACCGTGTGCTGGTAGAGCTGCTGCGCCCTCCGGATGCTCTCCTGGTCCAGCCGCTGCCGGATCACGGGGGGTGCCGGCATTCCCAACCGCGCCAGGATCCCCTTTTTGATGGCCTCCAGCTGGAGCCTGTCCCCATCCCACGTGTGGGGCCTCAGCTCCACGCCGGTGACGAGCAGCAGGAGCTGGAGGCAGGTGAGGGCAGCCTCGACATCCCGCAGCGCCTTCGGCATCGCGCAATTCCCAGCGGGAATTAACTGCAAAATCCCCTTGCGCAAAGGCTCGGACGTGCAGCTCCCGGCGGTGCTGCCCCGGGAATGAATGAAGTGGACCTGACCTGGCTTTATAGGAGCCGAACTTTGCCCGCCCTCCGGGTGACGGCGGAGGAAACACCCAGCAGGAATCTCTCCTTTCCGCCTGGGAATTTGCATGGGATGCACTGGTGCTGCTGGAGCCGGGTGATGTGCGAGGCTGCTCTGCAGCTGTGGAGATGAATAAGGGTCAGCCTTTTCCTCAGACACAAACAGTTCCCTTCCACCGCCTGGTTTTCCCCATGGATCACCGCGCCAGCTCATGGCTGGGGGGATCTGGCACCACTCCTGACCCATTGGTGAGTGAGAAGCATCCATAGGCGACATCCGATGGACCCAGAGGGGTGCAGGGGGTGATGGAGAGGGTGATGCGCAGGCAGGCGCTGCTCCTCCATCCCTGCATCCCAAGCTGCCTTCTCCATCCGCTGGTCCCCATCCTGCCGGCACATGGATCCCCGTTATGGTGCAGTGCTGAGCCCGGCACACGGCCCATTCCCTAGAACCCCTCCGGAGCAGGGGAGCAGCGCCCGGCTCCTGCCGGTGCACGCACGGAGGGAGCAGATCAGTTGGACCTTGTCCTCCCAAAGTGGCTGATGACACCACAGCCCGGCTTGCAGCAGCGGCTCCTGCACGCTGAGGGATGGCTCTGCCCCGGTCCAGGCCCTCCTGAAGCAACCATGGCTGGTGTTACGTCATCCCTGGGCACGCCGGGATGGCCTGGATCCAGCGGGAAGCACCGCACCGGGAAAGGGAAAACTCACGGTGGGAATCACCAAGGCCGGGCCCCGCCGCCTCTTCCCTTCTCCTGAGGGATGCTTTGAGCACAAGACACGAGAGCCCCCTGGTTGGACAAGGCAAAGGGCAGGGTGCCCCCGGCGCCAGCCAGGGCAGGCGAGGTCATTCCCCAATACCCTGAAGCAAAGCCAAGTCTGTATCACGGGAGGAACATGCTTCCAGTGATCCTGTGGTTTGTGGCTGTTTATCCTCTGCTTCCCCTTGGAGCTGGCTCCAGTCTCACTCTGCCTTTCCATCCTCCCTTGGATGAGCCCCCCCCCCCCAAGAGCATCTTCCCATGGGGAGCTGGTCCAGGGGCTGGCTCCTTGGTGAGTGCTTTCATTCCTGACCTCAAGGCATTCCATGTGTTCCTGTGTGTTATGGAGCTCTGACCCCACACTGATCCCTTCTCCTGGGGTGACTGCAACGCTCCAGCTCCTCAATTCAAGGAAGGAGGGAGAAGAACCATCACTGCGGGAGGACCCCAGACCCCGGGGAGCAACCACAGCAGAACCTCCCTATGAACACCCCCATGTCCCATGGGGGCACCAGCCCGGCCACCAGCACCCTCCACCATCAGCAAGGTGCTAAATAAGCTCCTCCAAAGCCAAAGTGAAGCCGTGCAGCAGGAAGAGGCCCTGCCCCAGCAGCAACCCCATTGCCTGGTGCTTGAGCAAGACCCGAGGTCTTCGGCAGCGGGGCCTGATGCTCTGCGTGGTACCAGCTCCATCATGGGCGATGCAGAGCCTTGCGCTCGGGAGCATCCGAGTGTCCCGAAGCCGGATGTTTCCTCCCTACAGGCGCCAGGGGTGGAAGCTGGAGATTTACAGCCCAGCAAGGGCCATAAAAGCCGTGGTTTAAGAGCAGGGCTTGCGGGAGCCGTTGTGAAACGCTCCCTGCGTGTCCTCACCATCAGCGAGCACGATGCGATTGCACAGCGCGGCTCCGTGCGTAAGCAGCTTCCCACGTTTCCTCCGGTCCTTCCTGGGCCATCGGCAGCACAAGGTCAGGTTTATCCAACGCCTCTTCCCATCGGGATGCAGGGTCCTCCCTGGTTAATGCATCCATCCCTCAGCAAGGTACTGAGCAGCGCCTGTTTGCTGTGGATCTAGGGATTAATAGGAGCGTTTGGCCATGGGATTGCGGGTGGTCGGGGACTCCTGGCCCTTGGAGAGGCCAATCCAAGGGTTGAGGGTGAGGAGGAGTTGATGCCCTGGGGCTGCACTGAGCAAGGGAGAAACTGGGAGCTTTGGTGGTTGAAGCATCACAGAGGGTCATGGAATGGTTCAGGCTGGACAGGACCTTCGGAGCCTCCGGTTCCAGCCCCCTGCCATGGGCAGGGACCCCTCACACTGCACCATGAGGAGGCCAAGGGGCACAAAGGCTGCTCAGAAAGCACAGGCAAAGCTCCCAGTGTGTGCTGCTGAGCCTGGGAAGATGGGAATCATCTTCTCCCCTTCCTTCCCTCCATCTCCAGACAAGAGGAGGTGGGGACCCGGAGCCACCCCGGCTCCAGCTGAGCCAGCACCGGGGGAAGAAGCCGTGCTGGAAACGCTGACATCGAACGCCAAAAGCAACAAGAACACCACGGACGTGAGTCACTTCCCATCAAACACAGCCCAGCCACAGCCCTCAGCTTGAACCAGCTGGGGCAGCTCCTGCCCTAAAGCGCTGCACTCCAGGGTTAGGCCTATCCATCCCTTGAGGATGCTGAGCAAATGGCTCCTGAGGAGGTGCTGAGAGCCTAACAAGAGCCAGACCCCCCAGGAACAGGCATTCATCAGCCCTGGGACTGGCAGAGTGAGGTTACAGCATCACAGCATCCCCAGCATCCCCAGCATCCCAGCATCCCCAGCATCCCAGCATCCCCAGCATCCCCAGCATCCCAGCATCCCAGCATCCCCAGCATCCCAGCATCCCCAGCATCCCAGCATCCCCAGCATCCCAGCATCCCCAGCATCCCCAGCATCCCACCATCCCCAGCATCCCAGCATCCCAGCATCCCCAGCATTCCAGCATCCCCAGCATCTCAGCATCCCAGCATTCCAGCATCCCCAGCATCCCAGCATCCCAGCATCTCAGCATCCCAGCATCCCAGCATCCCAACCCATCCCCAGCATTCCCAGCATCCCAGCATCCAGCATCCCAGATCCCCAGCATCCCAGCATCCTCCCAGCATCCCCAGCATCCCAGCATCCCCAGCATCCCACATCCCCAATCGCATCCCAGCATCCCCAGCATCCCAGCATCCCAGCATCTCAGCATCCCAGCATCCCCAGCATCCCAGCATCCCCAGCATCCCATCATCCCCAGCATCCCAGCATCCCCAGCATCCCTAGCATCCCAGCATCCCAGCATCCCCAGCATCCCAGCATCCCCAGCATCCCAGCATCCCCAGTTGCATCCCAGCATCCCCAATTGCATCCCAGCATCCCCAGTTGCATCCCAGCATCCCCAGCATCCCAGCATCCCAGCATCCCAGCATCCCAGCATCCCAGCATCCCCAGCATCCCAGCATCCCAGCATCCCCAGCATCCCAGCATCCCAGCATCCCAGCATCTCAGCATCTCAGCATCCCAGCATCCCCAGCATCCCAGCATCCCAGCATCCCCAGCATCTCCAGCATCCCAGCATCCCCAGCATTCCAGCATCTCAGCATCCCAGCATCTCAGCATCCCAGCATCCCAGCATCCCCAGCATCCCGCTCTCAGGCACATAGCATTGGACCAGGCGCTCCGGGACCTTCTCTGATCCCTGGAAACACATGGATCGAGCAGGTTGGATGCTGCAGAGGGGATGTTTCCTGCTGCAAGTGAGGCGGATGATGCTTACCCATGGTGTGGTTTTCAGCTGAGGCTAAGAAGGGAAGAGCAGCACAGCTTCCCCTATTGCTGCCACCAAGAGCAGCGCTTAGGGCTTGGTCTTTAGGGAAGTCGGTGGCTGGGAGCAACTTCAGCACTTGCAGAAGCAATCCCAGGTGAGAGCCCCCTCGGTTCTGAAGGGCAGGAACCTCTGAGGTTCCATTGGTCACATCCGGGACAAGGTTTGCTCCATCCCATCTCATCCCAGGTCTGGGAATGGGCGCAGAGGGATGGCAGATGGAGGCATCCCGTGTTTTCCCAGTGCTGGCCGCTGGCACAATGAACTGGCTGAGTGGAAACTATCCTGACCTTTAGACGTTTCTAAATACAAACAGGCTGGGTCAGGTGAGCAGAATGCAGCTTTTGCCCCCAAAAAAGGCACATTTTTGTTTCCCTTGCTGCAAGGTTACGGAATCAGCCAAAAATGAGACTTCTGCTCTACTGGGATGAGGATGTTTTGGCCTTGGTTGTACCCGTGGTCAAGGATTAACCTGAATCCCCATCCCTCAGCCTGGGTGCTGCAGGGATCGCTCCCATCCAGCCACCAAGAATGGAAGCGGTGCTGGAGATCCCCAAACCCCTTCCCCACAGTGATGCTCCATCAGGATGAAGCCCTCCATTCACAACAAGCATCCTTCCTGGAATGGGCTCCCCGGAGAGATGGAGCTACTGGGAGCAGCCATCCTCCGGCTCAGATGCTTCACAGCTTGCAGTGGGATTTCCTATGGTGCAGGGCCTTGAGAGCATCATCTGCACGAGCAGCAGGCAACTGGGTTATGGAGGGCTATGGAGGAACAGCTTTAACACGAAGCTGTTCCATGGTGTGAGCTTCTTTATGTTCAAAGGGGGATGCATCTTGCCCCTCAATGGGCTGGAACAGCCCTTCCTCTCCTTCCAAGGCCTTCAGGAGCATCCTTCTCCTTCGGGATGGTGGTGCTGAGCCCAGGAGCAAAGCACAGGGAAGCAGCAGAGCAAAAGCCATGGCTCTAAGCAGGGCCTTGGGAGGGACCCTTCTGAGCTCTAAATCCTTCCAGCACAAAGCAGGTTGGGAAACAGATGATGGGAACCAAAGCCAACCCTGGAGACATGCAAGGAAAGCCTTGGGAGATGCTGCAAGGGAAGGAGAACCCCGAAAGCTCCTTAAAACTGCAGGATTGTAAGAGGCTGGATGGGTTCTTTAAGTGCGAGGCAGTTTTGCATAGGGCAGAACAGGAGCGTTGGGAACCACTGCTGCTTGGGTGAGCGCTGACAGAAAGGATGGGTTGCTCTGTGATCCTGCCTGCAGCACGGGGAAGTGGTGAATGTCAGGGTATAGGGATCATGGAATCACACAGAATCACAGCTCATCCAGTCACAACCCCTGCCATGGGGACCCCTTCCACTGGAGCAGCTTGCTCCAAGCCCCTGTGTCCAACCTGGCCTTGAGCACTGCCAGGGATGGGGCAGCCACAGCTTCTCTGGGCACCCTGTGCCAGCGCCTCAGCACCCTCACAGGGAAGAGCTTCTGCCTAAGAGCTCAGCTCAGTCTCCCCTCGGGCAGGTTCAAGCCATTCCCCTTGGCCTGTCCCTACATCCCTTGTCCCAAGCCCCTCTCCAGGTTTCCTGCAGCCCCTTTAGGCACTGGAGCTGCTCTCAGGTCTCCCCTTCAGGAGCCTTCTCTTCTCCAGGCTGCCCCAGCCCAGCTCTCTCAGCCTGGCTCCAGAGCAGAGCTGCTCCAGCCCTCGCAGCATCTCCATCATGGCCTCACTCCTTCAGTTCCACGTCCCTCTTGTGCTGCTGCCCC